GAGAGAGAGAGAGAGAGAGAGAGAGAGAGAGAGAGAGAGAGAGAGAGAGAGAGAGAGAGAGAGAGAGAGAGATGCTTCGGCTAAGCCGTCTGGGACGTGAGTCGTTACTCCCGCATCAGCCTCGGAAGGTCTGTCGACTCAGCGGACATTCTACCACTTGATTACCTCCCACAGCTACGATTATGCTTACAAATGCAATCGGACAGTTTTGATAAGAAGAGATGTCCTGATATAAACAGATAGTCACTACGGATCCTCGTCATTCCGCAGAGACTCCATTGGCCATCCTAGTACGGAGCCAGTGCCACTCCTTGTTTCCCCCTCCTGCTCCCCCATAACCTCACGCTCTTCTAAGCAGTCCCTCGGGCCTGGCCTGCAAGGGGACACTTCTGAGTCCTCCGGGTATTCCTTCGACTATCCATTCGAGGGCCGTACCCACAATGGGACTGCATCACCGCATGCACATTCCGCCAAGGAAGTCCCTGGTGTGAATATTGCCTATAATGGCCAAACTTAGCCGCTGGCAAGCTGGCAAGCTGAGGATGTTGGATCGCCGCCCGGAGCTTAGCACGACTCCCAGATGATGGCGAACTCCTGCGTGAGCTTGAGATCCTGAGAGTCCACGGTCATTTGGGCGCTTTTCGCTGGGTTCCCAGGTTTCAGCCGCACTTCGGATACGAGGTTGAGGTCTCTGACGACGTTGCACTCGCTGTACACTAGCACACCGAACTGGTCCGTGAACTCGTAGTTATCATCGAAACTGCCGGCGATGACGCGGTTGGCTTTTGCCGTCCCTGTTGTCCCGGAGATATAGTAACTGGTCTGAGCGGTCCCGCTCGTGCCCGCGTCCAGCTTGGCGTATCCGCGCATGGTGACCGTCCCCAAGTGGAAGCGGAAACCTGGCGGATAACTCAGATTGACCGTCACCGCGCACTTCTTCCTCAGACCGTCCAAGCCAGCGTCTGTCGACGCAGTGTACTTGCTGAACATCACAGTGATTGCTTGTCCGTCATCTGATACTGCGCCCTCCGCAGACCCTGGCGGGCAGCCATCACCTGCATACGTGAAACCCAAGATCTTGATTGTACCCACGTCCGGGGATGCAGCTTGTCCATGGATAGCCAACGTTAGGAATGCGAGCAACAGCAGGGCCGCCATGGTGGCAACGGAGGGGACTGGTGGGAACCCTCGTTGCGCCATTGTAATCAGCTTCGACGTCTAGCTTCTTCCTCCTTACTGGCAGGCGGGAGGAAGTCTTCGTTTTCAAACTCTACAGCAACCTCTACAACCACCTCCACATCTACGAAGGCTACCCTCTCGAGTGAGTGCCGGCGTGCAAGTGTAGCCGTGCTCTCGCTCCTCTCCACGGGCAGCGTGTCGAAGAGAGAGACCCCTTCCTACTCTTCCTATCTCGGCTACGAATACGCGACACACTCTGCGCTAGCAACCTCTGAATCACCCGCTACGCATTCCAGCCCCGACGTTCGGGCCTTTATGCACAGCAGCTCGAAGGGTGTGACCCCACACTTCTTACGGTAAGTAGAAAGGAGAGGTGGATCCCACTGCCTGGTGGAAGCTTGCGACGTCGTTTCTCAGCGTTTTCCAAAGCTTCGCCGCAAAGCAGTGGGGTCTCACAAATTGTCTTCCAAAGCTTTGCCGCGAAGTAGTGGGGTCCACCGGTTCCGCAGATATAGGGAGCTGCTCCGCCATCCAGGCGGCATCACGCTGCGTCCTGGAAACATTGATGTCCTGTCCCTTGGGGAGCACAGGAAAAAGATTGTGGATCCAGCGGCCTAACTCACTTGGTAAGGCGCGAAAGTCGCATTCAGGAGGTAGTGGGTTCAATCCCCGCTGCCTCATGTACCTTCCTGGACATGCTTGGCGCCCACCACCTACAGCTAGACCACTGGATCCCTCGATCGGCATTAAGCAGAGTCTGCTGACGTTCGTAGGGGAGGTGGACCTGAGGGGAGGCACAGGCGCCCGTGGTGTGAGTTGTCCCTCACGTGCATTGGGGTAGACTCGAGTCTGGGTACACCGGGTCATGGTTGATCCATGCTGGGCTGGGGTGAAATGTCTCTCACGGGGCTTAACTTTCAACTATTGGTTAAGTTAGCCACGTCTTTGGTGGTGGGTCATGGGTTCTATTCCTGGTAAGTTTATCTTGGACTTCTTGTGTATAAAAAAAAGCACTATTTGGGTTTGGCGGAAGCTTTCCACCTCGAAAGCCTGGAAAGCTTCCACCAGGCATTGGGGCCCACCTGTTACTTGCTGTAAGTACTGTGGGATCAGACCCTAACTAGCATAGGGGCTCGCCACACAGGCTTTCGAACCAAGGCATTTTTCGAAAGGTCTCAGACTTTTTTCGAAAGTCTGCTCGTGGAAAGGAACCCCCCCCCTCGCCACACAGACTTTCGAAACACCCAGGCCTTTCGATGTATGCACATTAGGTGTCAAGTATTAGCAACTTGCACCATTAAAGGCACAGCAACTTTTTCATACAATAGAGAAGATAGAGAGATCACACCATTGGCACCCCACGGCAAAGATGAAAGGAGAAAAAGTAGAAGACGAAGAAGAAGAGAGAGAAGAGTAGAAGAAGCGAGAAGGAGAGAAGGAGAACGACACGCATGGGTATAACTTCTCCTGAACGTGACTCAATCAATGACAAAAACTTGAAGTACATGGCGGCGTGGCCCCGACGTTTCGGCTGCCCGCCAGACAGCGCTCATCAGGGGTCTTTAGTCGCGGAGGTGCTGTTCATTGACAATTACCTCGTCTATATACCTGGCGTGTCGATAGGCAGAAGAATCCTACATACTAAGGACACGTTCCTTGAGGACTAAAGACCAAGGACAAGTCTCACGGGCCTCGGGACTGGAACCTTCCGGCCGACAGAAAACTGTAAATTCCTCGTAAGATTCAAACCAAGGTCAGCGAAACTGAAAAAGGCCTCGGGACTGGAACCTTCCGGCCGACAGAACCCAAAGTTCCCTAAAGGATTAAAATCGGGTTCGGCGAAATTGAAAAAGACCTCGGGACTGGAACCGTCCAGCCTGCGTAGCACGGCGAACGTGTTCGCGCCCCTCCATGTTCGCGCATTCGCGCGAACAGCTCGCGAACATGTTCGGGCGAACATAATTTTTTTTCGTAAAAAAAAAAAAATAAATTATTTTTTTTTTCGGTTTTTGATTTTTAACTCATGATTGGTTACGAATTTGAACATGACTCTTAGGCAAAAGTTGCTTGTATTGTTATTTCACATAACATAAGTTTTTTTCAGAGTTTTCGAAGAACTTTTTTTTTTTTTAATATTTTTTATGTTAGTGTTCGGAGGTTTTTGGGCGCTTGTTCGCGTTCGCCTCCGAACGCGAACACGGTGCGACGTAGCTTCCAGCCATCAGAAAACGTTCTTTCCAGAAGGGTTCGAACAAACGATTGTTAACCTAAAAGGATTTGTCCGGGCCTCATGACTAGAGATTTCCAGCCATAAAACAGATACTGAATCAAAACCCAGATTTCAAAAGGTACGTCTCAAAACTATTATCCTCCGGCACAGTATCTACCGCCACAGTCAAAAACAATCCTATTGAAAAACAACGTCCGGGAAATAACGAATGGACCCCCAGTGTATTTTCAAAAAACAGGCAAGTCCTTTCTTCTGACAACATTCTTGACCCCCATTGATCCTGGATTACCCTTGCTAATACCCCTAACTCAATTGAGAAGTTGATCTGAACAGCCGACCCCACCGGGTCAAAATCGGGAGCCACTGATTCCAACAACCTACAAACTTCGAGGAAAAGTTAACCAACGCGTCATCCAAATAGCAATTAGGATAATCTCGCTTCCATAACTCTATTTTAAGGGTCAGCAGGAAAGCAAACTCTATACCGTCAATAGTCGTGAAACTCCTGGTTCGGTGAAGGAAGGAGATAATGACCGCCATTTTTTGTTGTCGGCTCGAGTAAGATGAAAAATCCTGAATACTTTAAAAAACCAGCGGATCACATACTGCCGATCTCTGATTCTTATGAACCGCAATCGAAACCACTCTTCAGGGATTTTCCACGATTTTTAGCACGCAACCGACAAAGTCACAACAGTCTCCGAAACTGTTTTTTTCCAAAACAAGGTTCTTATCATAGCATTTCTGAAAGAGCTCAAAGATACGTTCAGCCTTTGACCGAGACTCGTTAGAATCAAGACAGTACTGTACAAGGAAACTGACGTCATCTGCAATTCGAAAACCACACAAGCTTCCTATCCATTCCTAAGGAGGAAAGAAAGGTAAACTCATTGAAGGCGCGGAGAAGACAGGCAAGGGCTGGGCTCATAGACTTGCCCATGGGGATCCCTACCGTCTGACGCAGAAGTACCCCAAAAGCAACAACGAATGTGTTTTTTAACTCAAAATCAACATATGACCGAATGACGGAAAAATCCAAGAAGATCCATCCTTCTTCTTTCTTACCTTTGGAGAGCTTAACCATTTTTCCTAGTTTGCACACCGCAACGCCGGAGAAGCCTTCGCCAAACCAGTAATCAGTCATCCATCGGACTGCTCTAGAGATTGACGGATGGGGTAAGTTTGAAAACATCTCTTTTACATCAAAGGACCCACCAATTACACTGTCACGTTTGCTTATCTGCTTGTTCATTGACACGATCCCCGGGACCAAATCCAAGGTGCATCGTAGATTGAAGTGTGATAGAGGAGGAAGTTTCCAAAGAAGAACATTAACTGCTCGTCCGACTCTCCTACTAGCCAATGCACAATTCTTAGAGTAAGAGAGGCAGATCGGGCGCCATCGAGAAACGTCCTTATGTTTAGGGAGGCAGTAAGCACGACCAAAGGAGCCTTCCGTCTTTCATTTTCCGATGTGCGAAAAAGACTTTTCCTGGAATTGCTGTCTACAACACTCAATGGTCTTAGACTCCGAAGCAGTCACCCTGACAAAGGCTGAGTTCTCCAAGAAGAGTTTCTTCATGCCCTTACCATATACCACAGGACAACAGATATACGAATCTCCCATATTATGATCGAGGGGTGAACAGACAAGATTGGAGAAGCATTGCCGCTGTTAACAGACAAGATCAAGAGTTGGAAGATAAGATGAAGCACAACACTTAGAGAATGACAGAGACGAAAGGGGAGAAGTGACAAAACATTGGGACAAGTCACCAATCTCTACGTCATCCTTAGTGGGTAAAAACGTGCAGGAACAGAAAGCTCCCACAATTTGTTTCCTCAAGCTGGAGACAGGATTACAAGCAAGCGGCCTTATAACATTCTTGGAATTATTCATACATGGAGGAAAGGATCCGGAAGAGTTTAGACGAAAGGAGACGTGATCATCAATGCGAGGAAACAATTGATCAGCATATTTACAACAACATGTAAAAGAACCATTTCTTGCCACCTGTCTGAAATCATAGATCAGGTCACCAACATTCTTGTTACGGCACCATACAATCCGCATTCTTCGGATCAAGGCATCTTTCCAAAAACATGTTATTCGTTAAAATAGGACACTATATTTTAAATTGGTACTCGCACGCTATTAATTTCATGTTAAAATCGTTATATTTTAGACCTGAATGGAACATAGGAACCCGAAGAATGCAATTGAGAGGCCATAAATTGAATGTAAACTGAAGATTCAAGGCAATCACTTACTGATCACGATGGATTAAGTGTGGATTCCATTGCACTTCCATCAATTTTGTAACTTAAAGCCGTTACGGTTACAACATGAATTGTTGAACTCTAGATTTCTTTACACCTTGCTCAATTTTGTGTCAGCATTGAGTCGGACCTCTTTTAGATGACATTGTGACTTTCCTTAATTTATTGAAACTCAATCGAAGTGGGACATTTACGGCAAGCACACGGATGGTTTAAGTACTAATAGTCTAGTATGGATTCCGTCGCACTTCAATAATTTTTGCTTTAACTATATTAAATGTATATTACTAATCCCGACAAAGTTTCACGAATCACACGACAAACGAATCACACGACAAACGAGATCACGGTTTAAGTACAGTGACTATGGGTTCCATCGCACATAATTTATGCACTACATACTAAGTCTTATTGAAAGACGTGATACTTAGTTTGTTCGGTATGATTTAAGGATGAATTCCAACAGTGTGACACTTCGATAATTTTGGACTCTATCACACTTCGACAATTTATGTGACTTTAAAGACGAAACTGACATGTCATTGTCATACATTGAAATGCACTTGAATCAGACGTACTGCACATGACATTGTGTGAAGGTGAAAGTAGATGGTTTATGTATGGATTCCGGCGCACTTTGACAAAAAATCATAAACCGATATCACATTGTCATATGAAACTGAAATTCACGTGAGTACCATGGATTCTGTCTCACTTCAAGAAATATCGTACCCATCAAAAATTAAAAGTCAAAAATTGTATCGGTAATTAAAGTTCAAAATTGTACCGACACGTGCAAGAAATCGCAATTGCAAGATTGAAGTACGTGTACATTAAACGCTACAAGCCAACTGTACATTGAACTACGTTTAAATTAAACGCTACGAGCCACAACAATGTAAACTTTCTAAAAATTTAATGCTATCATTTACAAAATTTGAAGTTCCTACCGATGTCCCCGCGTCCCTTTAGAACCAAACCCGTATAAGGCATTCATAGACGACTCGAAAACAAGGGTTTGTGGCTGTCCCTTCGTCGCCACCCTGGAGAACACCGAAATGTACTTCATCCTTACAAACCTAGAGGCACCTGCCAAGGACTTACCGATGGCGTCACGCACACAACATGTCACTTGCTCTACCTCATGCCACTTATGAACCTCATCAATTCGATTGACAATCTCCAAATCGGATTGTCCGTTCTCGTACAGAAGGCCCAAATTCCCCATGTTGCGACCATAGATTCTAAGGTTGTTGCAAGAAACTAGCACTACAGCGTCTACCAAAGTCCACTTTCGGTTTGAACATGCCACACAGAACACTCTGCAGAAGTCGGAACCGGCCTCAGACAAACGGATGCAACAATATGACACATCTTTTGGCTGTAACCCGGCACCACGCAGCGAATATACTTCCAAAAACGGATTGTAGGATGCACAGTCCAACAACTCTTGTTTCAATTCCGCAGATCACACCCGAGGTGACCTCGTTACGTTGTTGAGGCGAAGGTAAAACCGGTCATTCTATTGCTGCCTGAGCGCGGCGCGCAGGGACGGAAGTTGCCTGACACCAATGGCATAATGAGGCACTTTGATCAGACTTCCCCACTCCATCGCGGAAGCAAATTTGTAGTCCTTATGCCATGGGCATTTCCTTGCCAAGATGGCTCTATCGCATTCTGTCTCGGACCACGCATCGATAGGCTTGTCAAAAAAAGGGACGACAGTCATCCACGGGTCGTTTTCGATATCGCCTCCCGAACCACAAAATCCTCATGCACAAGGGTGAATGAGACATGCATAATCATGTCGATGGTCCATGACTCCTGTTGCACTCCCTACACAAGACTTGAAATGCAAACAAAATGAAAATAAAATATCGAAATAGTAAAAAAATCGCCTTCATGATGAACTTAACTTCGGAACCATCACCAACCATCTTAAAAAATTAAACCGTAGACCGTGGACAAAATTCACTACGCAAAATCATTGCAAAAATAATATGCTCCATTCTGAACAGTTATTTTACAAAAATCTCACTACTCTTCAAACAGTTATTTTACAAAAATCTCACTCCCCCACTCTATCAGGTGGACGCGCACTAATCGCTCTTGTCCCCTCCATCTACACTCCCTTCACCAGATGGACCTGCATCAGATGCACATAAGGAATGCTATGTCTGGGCGTACACAAGGAAGGCTCTGCCGCTCTCAAGTTTTCATTGTACGATAGCACGCACAGAACAAAGGGTAATGGTGGATGCACCACCACACAATTCGGCGCAGCGCGACCCCAAACTGACCCCTATAAACACTGATTCTCACCACTGTCTAATCAGATGTACTAGCACAAGAGGTTGTCGAACTCGGACATGTACACTGCACAGACACAAAAAATTCAGAATTGCTTTTATTGGAGGGCAACGAAGATCGACAACACAAAGGAAATGGACCCGGTCACCGACATCGTCGTCAACCCCAATAAACCCTTTTTAGGGCAATTTCGAAAGGGAGCGCTTTTGCGCACTACCAGGCCGCCGGCATTTAAGACAGACGGGGAAGTCGAAGCTGTTGAAAATAACGGTCATATTTACGCGTAGCCTCAAAGTTTGTCGGAATCCGAATTTGGCTGGAGCTGGAGTAGGCAGGAACCTGTTTTAGCGCGGCCGGTGCCTGTGGAAGGGACCGCCAACGGGTGCATATAAGGAGCGCTATGTCTGGGCGCACAGAAGAAAGGATTTGCCGCTCTCAAGTTTTCGTTGTACGATAGCACGCGCAGAAGAAAGGGTAATGGTGGATGCACCACCACTCAATTCGGCGCAGCGCGACCCCAAACCGACCCCTATAAACACCGATAATCAACACAGTCTAATCAGATGTACTAGCACAAGAGGTTGTCGAACTCGGACATGTACACAGCGCAGACACGAAAAATTTAGAATGGCTTTTATTGGAGGGCAATGATGATCGACGGCACATAGGAAATAGACCCGGCAACCGACACCGTCGTCAACCCCAATAAACCCCTTTCAGGGTCATTCACAAGGCGAGCACATTTGTGCACTACCAGGCTGCCGGCAATGAACACGAACGGGGACGTCGAAGCTGTTGAAAACAACGGTCAGCTTTACGCGGAGCTGCAAAGTTCACCGGGATCCGAATTTGGCGGGTGCTGGAGTAGCCAACAACCTGTTTTTGCGCGGCCGGTGCCAGCGGAACGGAGAGTCAGCGGGTGCACACAAGGAACGCTATGTCTGGGCGCACAGAAGGAAGGCTCTACCGCTCTCAAGTTTTCGTTGTACGATAGCACGCGCAGAACAAAGGGTAATGGTGGATGCACCACCACACAATTCGGCGTAGTGCAACCCCAAACTGACCCCTATAAACACCGATTCTCAGTGCGGATTTCTGTGGCATGAAATTTGTTTGAACCAGCGTGGGAATACGGCCGCTTGCAAATCCGGAGTTCGACGAACGTCGAGGTTTGCGTAACGCGAGCAATTTTGCGCACCCAGAGGTCTCTGGTAATCTGAAGACAGGCGATAGTCCAAGCCGTCGCAACGGGCGGTTGAATTTTGTCGCGGGACCTCAAAGTCCGCCGGGATCTGAACTTGGCGTTTGCTGGACTAGCGAGGAACCGGTTTGTGCGGGGGATGTCGGGTATCTCGAGGATGGGTGTTGAAGTGCACATATGAGCTTGGCGGAAATGGCCGTCGTAAATGGCCGGTTAGATTCTAGTCGAACCACGAAGTCCGCCGAGATCCGAACTTGGCGGCCACCGGAATAAAGAGGAACGGGTTTCTTCGCGGCAAGTCGCATATTGGACGGGCTGATTAGAGAGAAGCACGACGATCCACATATGAGCTTCAGTGGACAGAACCAAAACCCGTCGTTAAGCACTCAATTTATCCCGCAGACAAGGCGAGCTCGCAGTCGGGCAATGGCAGGTTCCACAGGCAGGTTCATGGTGGTCAATGAAATTCCACAAGATCCTAACTTGCCCTCGGTTCCACTGAGGGACCACGAACGGGTGCCTACAACGAAGTCCGCCCGGATCCGAACTTCACTTTTGTTGCTGCGTGTCAGCCGGGAGCATGACACACTTGGTTTTTGCTGGGGTCCCAGTGACAGGACTGATTTTTTGGCGGGAAAGGCCACCCAAAGAACAGTCATGTACCAAGGACTCCGTAAAGATCCTTGTAAACCGTAAGCATGTGATTTCAGCGATGCGGTCGAAACTGTAATGACCATGCGAGCAGCTCACGACTTCGCATTCTTCAGATCTCAAGTCCGCCGGGATCCGAACTTCGTGTTGTCGCCCTCGCACGGTGACAACTGGCAGGGCGTTCTGAACTATCGACCCCACGCCCTAAAGCTGGAAACTTTCTCGCAAAAGATAGTCATAAGGGCACCCGGGAACGACATTGTGACCGCGAACGCGAAACCAACAACCGCCAAAAATAATCATTGAGTCACGTGTGAAAACTTGGCGAAAATGGAACTTCGGATGCCGACGAACTACAGCAATCATGCGCTTGCTCTTCCAACGGCCGCGCGACGACAACACAATGCCACTTCCGTGAGAGCACTGCGCATAATTGTTGTAGTTTGCCGGCATCCGAACTTCCCATCTCGCCAGGCAACGACACGCGACTCGCCTTTTTATGTTTGGCGGTTGTCGGTTTCGCTCCCGCATACACAATGGCGACCCCCCGTTCCCCGACGAGTAAGACATGTCCCGTAGGCGGCCGGGTTGTTCGTTATTGAACGAGGTCGTTTTTACATGTTGAGGTTCTCGTCACGAAACATGCGGCGCTCACGCCGAAGAAACGGCATTGTCATTGCAGCTAGCGGTGTTGTCGTTCTCCATTGAGCGCACGCAACGTGCGCATTCTTCATCGACGAGGCCGCGGATGTTGCTCGCACAGCACTGGCGTCTGTCGTGCGCAATGTGCTGTCGTGTCGTAATGACCTGCGCCAGGCACGCGCGCTCAACATCCGTGGCCTCAATGGTGGATCATGTGCACGTTGTGCGCGCGGGGTGGAGACGACACCAACTCTCCTGGGATTGACGCCATAGCCTCTCCGGGGAGGGAGGCACAAGTGTTGTGACGAGAGCATGACAACGGAACGACGACACCCTCCTGTTGATGAACACCATCCCTCTCACTGCACGCCATGTGGACGGTGGACGTCCTTCGCACGGTGGCAACCGCGCGATGCGTAATACCAACCCTGGTCGCGCGCAGCCCATGTGGCGTCCGCTAGTCGTTCAGCACTCCCGCAGCGACCATTGTCTGTCCCGTGGGGGATTCAAATCATCAGTCGTGGATTTGCAGTCCGATGCATCTCCTTCGTGTCAAAAAACCATTGAACTGTTAGATAAGAAAAGCAAACGTGCGAGGAACGTTTGTCGAGGGGATCTCGTGTTCTGCTGGAAAAAGGCGATTTCGTGATTCCCTCGACCACGCGGGAGTATTTGCAATGTTCGAACTTGGCAACCACGTGGGAGTGTTTTGCAATGTTCAGTTGGCTCGTCTCTAATGCCGAGCGAAGCAGGAATCATGGGGCCTGTCGCGTGGAACGAAGGAGTGAGAAGAGAAGGAAATACAGAAACCGTCTGGCCCATCGCCAACCCAAACAGGAATCATGGGGGCGATCGCGTGGAATGAGCGATAGGGAAGGAGAAGGGAACACAATAACCGTGTGCACCGATGTCTTCGTCATCTGTTCCCTCTGTCCCCGCCACTTGAGACACGTGCCACGATATGATGATCATCGGGTTGTTGATGAAAATGATGATGATGCCGATTGCGATGCAGATGATGATGATGATGATGATGCTGACTTGGACGGTGGCGATGTTGATGACTACGACGATGTCGATGATGATGATAACGATGATGTTGATGATGTTGTTGATGATGACGAGGATGATGATGATCATGATGATGATGATGGTGTTGATGATGATGACAACGATGATGATGATGATGATGACGATGACGTTGACGATGAGGATGATGATGAAGATGATGATGCTGATGACGACGACGACAATGATAATGATGATGATGATGATGATGATGATGATGATGGCGGTGAGCAAGAGTCATGGGGCCGCTCGCGAGGAACGAACAAGTGGGAAGCAAACGGGCATACAGAAACCATGTGCCCCAATGTCATCGACATCCGTTCCCGCCGTCCCCGCAACTTGCAACACATCGCGCGATGTGGCTGCTCCCATGCGCCGGCAAACAGGTGCGACGACTGACACGCGGGCAGGCATAAAACCACTTTACCTTGACGAGGGCACAGCGAACACGATGCCGCAACTCTCTCATGGGGCACAATGCTTAGACGACGCGCAGTTCTTCGACGATGGGGAAGCGCGCACGACGGCGCGACTATTCGACAAGGGCTGAGCACAGACCACGACGGCCGCTTGCTAACGCAGAACGCAAAGACGGAATGTCGAAGCGCCGCCAACTGGACCCCGGCAGTGGGCAGAAGGTCGGGAAAGAGTTAGCAACAAGAGGGACGCTTGCAGACACGTGGCGCAACAGCGGAGCAGCAAAGGCGGTGGAGGAGGTTGCCGAAGGGACGTCGCGCATGAATGCGCTCGTCACGGCTGGAGATGCGAATGAGCTGCAGCGGACCCCAGGCAGCGGAGCCCCAAACTGTCGTCGCACCCCGTTAAAAGACCAGCCTGTGTCGGCCCGCGCGGCCTCGGACCCCGCTCGCCTGCCAGGAGACGCGAATGCCCCTGAACCCCTCCAACCTCCCCTCTCGCGGCCCCCCACCACCCCCACAACGGACTGGAAAATACATTCTGCCCCACCGCGCTGCCTGAAACCCCCTCGAGCGGGGCCCGCGAACCCGACGACACGAACGCGAGTGGCCAGGAACATGGGCTCTGTTTTTCAATGACACCCTGGAAGGGCTAGGCCACAGGCACTTTTTTGTCATGTCCTGCTCACCAGGCCCCCGTAGGGGAAATTTCGACGCGTAGCCACCGTTCGATGCGAGGATCGAAGAGTCGTGTGGTGGCGCACGGACCCTGCGCGATTTTTCGAAACGCCAGGCTCAAGGGGGCCTCGAGTCTCACACGCCTACAAGTACGAGCGGCGCCCTGGGCATTAACGATGCGTTCTGCGTTTTTGGTGGGGAGATGCTGCCCGACAGAAGCCTCGCACCGCCACTGTCGTCAACAACAACACCCCGCACTGCTGGAGCGCCATAGCTGGCAAAGAGTAGGGACAGCCATTCCTCACCGCACTCGTTTCCTGGCGATGACACACCCCGCATGCCCTCGCATCTCCCTCCACCTTCGAAGTCGCTGTCCACGTCATATTCGACGTCGCGTGTCGACACCTCCGGCGCCCACCACTCCACGCACTACCCTCGCAAACACAAAGCACTCCACACAACACACTGAGTCTCGCGAACAAAAAGAACAAGCCATAAGGTCGACAGAGTGTTGTCTCGCTTGACGGCGAGGATCGCGCGAATCTCCAGTCGACAGTATCACATGGTGAGTGCACCCGCAGTCGGGACGTGTGTGCGTTTGTGTGTGCCTGCGGGTGGGTTTTCTGATGCTATGCTCGCGCAGATTGAAAGAAATTGTGTTTTTGGGGATGCGGGTGGATGTTTGTGTGTATGTGTTTGTGTGCTACTGTGTGTTTGTGCGTGCGCGTGTGTGTCTGTGTTGATTGTTTTTTTGTGTGCGTACTCGAGTGCGTGTTTTATTGTGTGTGTGGTTGTATGACGTGTATGCCACACGCGCGAGGAAGGATCGTGCGCGTGTCAGGATCTTAGGGGTGTGTGTGTGTGGGGGCGGCGTATGCGGGCGCGTATGTGTGTGTGTGTGCTTGTGTGTGTGGGGGGCGTGTGCGTGTGCGGGCGCGTTTTTGTGTGTGTGTGCATATTTTGCGTGTGTGTGTGATTGTGCACATTGAACGCGCGGACATGCACGCGAAGGTGGGCGGTCTGCCTCTGCTGCAATCGTGGTTGAGAGGTGCAAAATACCCAACGATTGCGCAGGTTTTAACGCAGAACTGTATTCCGGTGTGCTCCTAAGGTGATCGACTGGCGAATCACGAAAGGTCGTATCGAACACGACAATCACGAAACGCAATCACATCTTGAGCACTGACCACACTAGATATGATCCTTTGTGCTGTCCAAATGCCATATCCGCCGATCTGCCCAATGGATGATCGATCAAAACACGCGGTGGCAATGTCGACACAGCGAACGCATCCAATCGCGAAACACGATCAGTTCAATCGTGATCGATTCAACCGACCAATAGAGAAAGCTCCGCTCAAACACGTTGTGACAATGTCTAGAACATACGCTCGATGAACTGACCCATCACGAAACATAAACCGACCACTCGCGATCGGGTGATTGATGTTGTTTGCTGTCGCAACAATATCGCCCCTGATCCGCCTAACGGATGATTGATTAGTGCACGAGGAGACAACATCGGGATCGCAAACGCATCCATCCGACCGATCGCGAAACGCTAACAGATTACTCGCGGTCGGTCGATTGATCGTGTGTGCTGTCCCGACGTGTTCACCGCGTGTGTGTTCCGCTTGTCTCAATGGCAACATCAAAACCGCTGCGATGTGCGTGTTTGCGTGTGTGTGCGTGTGCGTGCGAGTGTTGTTTTAGCACCGTGACCGGTTATGTGTTCCTGCAGGCAATGTGCGTGTGCGTGCGTCTGTGCGTTTGCGTGTGCCTACGAAACACCCATGGACGCGTCCGAGGGGTCGAGCTCGGATCGCGGACCCAAATGGGTTCGCATCCGCGTTCAACCTCATCCGCACCGCAGACACAATTTTACACGAATTTTCCTGAATTAAATAATAGGTAAAAAATATATATATATATGGGGTTGTAGGGAATTTTACACCCTACAACCCCATAATTTTTGTTTTGGAAAAATATGCTTTTTAGAAATTTGTTTTGGAAAAATATGCTTTTTAGAAAT